CTAGGCTAGTCTTCTGTACTCTACTCTAGGCTAGTCTTCTGTACTCTACTCTAGGCTAGTCTTCTGTACTCTACTCTAGGCTAGTCTTCTGTACTCTACTCTAGGCTAGTCTTCTGTACTCTACTCTAGGCTAGTCTTCTGTACTCTATGCTAGGTTAGTCTTCTGTACTCTACTCTAGGCTAGTCTTCTGTACTCTACTATGCTTTATTCTAGGCTAGTCTACTCTGCTTTATTCTTCTACACACTAGTCTCTCCTCTTCTGTCACTTCTCTTTCTCTCTTTATTGTGTTTTTTATTTTCCGTTTTTTTTTTTTTCAGTTTATTTGTTTTTTATTCTTCTCCCTTTTCTCTCATCTCTTCATTTTTCTTTCCCCTCTGCTCTCCATTACTCTGCATTCCTGTAGGCTTGCTTACTTTATTCTAGGCTTCTCTGCTCGGTTAGGTTACTCTCTTCTAGGCTAAGCTATTTTGCTGTGAACTAGGCTAGACTATTCTGCTACACCCTCATCTAACCTGATCTCTTCTTTCTCTTTCGCTTCTTTTACTTTTCTCTTTGCTTGTTTTGCATTATTTTATTTAGACTTTTCCCTATTTTTTTCTTTTTCCCATCGTGTTCTTTTTTTCTTTGCTTTTTGTATTTGACTTTCTCCTGTTTACATCCGTCGCCTTACATTTGAGCTCCGTGATTGGACCCTTCTGATATCACAGGTTTAACCCTCCCCTCAGGTCCAGCCCATCATGGAGCAGTTTGAGGACACATTTAAGAAAGGTCACCACCAGATGTCATCCTTCTGGAACTCGTGCTATGATGCACTTATGAGCAGCTCGTTAAGAAGGGAGGCGGAGAAGGGAGAAAGCAAAGCCAAATTTCAGGTAATGGGATTCTCTTTTCTTCTTATTCTGGAGCTGATTTTGTTCACTTGGACCTGTCACTTGTACAGTAAACATTTTCATTAGTCAGAATTTGTGACAAAGATAAATGGGCTTAATGCTTAAAAACATTACAAGATTTAAAAACACAATGGGACTGCTGTAGCGAGTGTGTATTGGGGATCCGGATCTTCCTGTTACATTGTAACTAAAGTAAATCCTGCACAGAGATCGCGGGAGCCTTATAATGGGCACAGAAGGCAGGCAGACCTGGGAACTGAGCATATGGATGGTGGGAACCCCTCATAATGGTCACAGTAGGCATGCAGAGATGGTGGTAAGCCTTCATATGGGCATGCAGACCTGGGAAGTGAGCATATGGATGGTGGGAACCCCTCATAATGGGCGCAGCAGCTGTTCAGACCCAAGAACTAATCACAGGGATGATGGGAACCCCTCATAATGGGCACAGTAGGCAGGCAGGGATGGTGGTAAGCCTTCATAATGGGCACAGCAGGCATGCAGACCTGGGAACTGAGCATATAGATGGTGGGAAGCCCTCATAATGGGCATAGCAGGTGTGCAGAACGGTGAACTCAGCGGAAGGATCATGGGAGCCCCTCATAATGGGCATAGTAGGCATGCAGACCTGGGAATGGAGTATAAATGGTTGGAATGCCTCATAATGGGCACAGCAGGTGTTCAGACCCAGGAACTCAGCGGTCAGATGATGGAAACCCCTCATAATGGGCATAGCAGGTGTGCAGAACGGGGAACTCAGCGGAAGGATCATGGGAGCCCCTCATAATGGGTATAGTAGGCATGCAGACCTAGGAACTGAGCATATGGATGGTTGGAACCCCTCATAATGGGCGCAGCAGGTGTTCAGTCACAGGAAATCAGCACAGGGATGGTGGGAACTCCTTGTAATGGGTACAGCAGGTGTACAGGTCTGGAAACTTCATGCAGAGATCTTACCAATAGAGGCCCTGAGAGATAAAAGAGACTGTCAGGTGGTTTAAATCTCCGGCATCCATCAAACAACTAATCATGCACATTGACGATCCCTGATAGTAATTTTTAAAAAGTCCGCAAATTTGAAATCGGAAGTTCTCAAGAAAACCGAGTTTACCAAAATTCACTGGTCATCCCGCATGGAAAGCAAGGAACAGAGTCTATGCTTTGCGACAAGTCCCCTGTGAATGGCTTTTATTGGTGTGTTACAGGAGCTGATCCTGGAGCCGGTTATGAAGAGGATGCAGCGCGAGAATATCAGATACAACAGCGTGCTGAAACAGATCAACAGCCACCATAACACGGTACTGAGACAATGGAAATCTCTGCTGCGCCTGCTGACCTGTCCTCGCGGTGCCTGGGCTGATCGGTGAGTAACCATAGGGGGGAGGGGGGGGGTAGGGGCGCATGTGAGATTCTGAGGGAAGTGGGTCCCTTAGAGCCTTGGTTCTCAACTGGTGGGTCGGGACCCAAAAGTGGGTCGCGACCCCATGTTCAGTGGGTCCCCCCATGCCTTCCACTTTTCTAGGTGAGAGGCTCCTCAGCCTCCCCCTAGCGCAGCCCTGTCCATTCTTACACTGAGCAGCCATTCAAAATATGCTGCCCGGCTCCGAGTGTTGACTTGAGGTGGGGTGGGCTGTGGGTATGGTCGCGAGGGAGCTCCATCCATGCGTGTAATGCTACTAGCTACCTCGCATGTCCTGTAGAGGTGCCTGGACTGGAGTGAAATCACATTCTGGCTCCCGACACCTACAGGAGCGCATGGGAGCTGTACAAGCAATGCACATATGGATGGAGCTCCGTCACAGCAGAGCAGCCCACACTGCCATGCGTTCCACTGCAGTTCGACTTGGGTCGCGACTTAATGATCGAGGACAAATGTGGGTCCTGAGGTTACACAGGTTGAGAACCACTGCCTTGGAGTATCTGGGTGCTGTAAAAACAGGAACCTACGTGGAGTCCTATAGTCAATTTTTCTTTTTTGTCTCAAGATTGTTTAGTGTCCTTTATATGTAAATCGCATGTGTTGGGATTGTAGATAAATGGCAGAATGACACTTTACCCCCATTGTAGAAAGTATTGAGCACCACGGTAAAAGAGGAGACACTCAGTGTGCAGTGACATCAGAGGAAGCCATGTCAGTCCAGGAGGGGAGCCGATACAACTGTGAAGACTGAAGGGAAGGCCGGAGTTCCCTTATAATATAATGTTTTTCTTCTCCGTGTGTCAGGAACCCAGCGGAGGTTCAGTGGAAGTTGTCCAACGTGGAGACTTATTCCAGGATGCGGCTGAAGCTGGTGCCAAATTACAACTTTGATGCTCACACGGAATCCAGCGCACTCCGCGACAACCTTGGTGAGGCGCGCTCTGGGCACTGCTTTTGGGTGGGACATGAATCCCGCTTATGTGTGTGTTTTGTTTTGTCTGTGTGCGAATGAACCTTTAAAATCATCTCTGAGTTCAGATTTGCTCGGTTTTAGCTCTGGCTTCATCTTCTTCTCTCCAGGTACTGACCACCGTCAGTTACTCACAGATTCTTTCCCGCTTGCTGTGGCGAAGGAAGCGAAGGTGAACGAGATGGAGGACGACCAGCTGGCTGAGGAGGATTTGTTAAATATTTATCCGTAAGTGATCTGAAATATTGTGGATATATTCCATTGTTGTACACCTGCTGTGCCCATTATGAGGGGCTCCCACCATCCCTGTGCTGAGTTCCTGGGTCTGTACCCCCGCTGTGCCCATTATGAGGAGCTCCCACCATCCCTGAGCTGAGTTCCCGGGTCTGTACACCTGCTGTGCCCATTATGAGGGGCTCCCACCATCCCTGTGCTGAGTTCCTGGGTCTGTACCCCCGCTGTGCCCATTATGAGGAGCTCCCACCATCCCTGAGCTGAGTTCCCGGGTCTGTACACCTGCTGTGCCCATTATGAGGGGCTCCCACCATCCCTGTGCTGAGTTCCTGGGTCTGTACCCCCGCTGTGCCCATTATGAGGAGCTCCCACCATCCCTGAGCTGAGTTCCCGGGTCTGTACACCTGCTGTGCCCATTATGAGGGGCTCCCACCATCCCTGTGCTGAGTTCCTGGGTCTGTACCCCCGCTGTGCCCATTATGAGGAGCTCCCACCATCCCTGAGCTGAGTTCCCGGGTCTGTACACCTGCTGTGCCCATTATGAGGGGCTCCCACCATCCCTGTGCTGAGTTCCTGGGTCTGTACCCCCGCTGTGCCCATTATGAGGAGCTCCCACCATCCCTGAGCTGAGTTCCCGGGTCTGTACACCTGCTGTGCCCATTATGAGGGGCTCCCACCATCCCTGTGCTGAGTTCCTGGGTCTGTACCCCCGCTGTGCCCATTATGAGGAGCTCCCACCATCCCTGAGCTGAGTTCCCGGGTCTGTACACCTGCTGTGCCCATTATGAGGGGCTCCCACCATCCCTGTGCTGAGTTCCTGGGTCTGTACCCCCGCTGTGCCCATTATGAGGAGCTCCCACCATCCCTGAGCTGAGTTCCCGGGTCTGTACACCTGCTGTGCCCATTATGAGGGGCTCCCACCATCCCTGTGCTGAGTTCCTGGGTCTGTACCCCCGCTGTGCCCATTATGAGGAGCTCCCACCATCCCTGAGCTGAGTTCCCGGGTCTGTACACCTGCTGTGCCCATTATGAGGGGCTCCCACCATCCCTGTGCTGAGTTCCTGGGTCTGTACCCCCGCTGTGCCCATTATGAGGAGCTCCCACCATCCCTGAGCTGAGTTCCCGGGTCTGTACACCTGCTGTGCCCATTATGAGGGGCTCCCACCATCCCTGTGCTGAGTTCCTGGGTCTGTACCCCCGCTGTGCCCATTATGAGGAGCTCCCACCATCCCTGAGCTGAGTTCCCGGGTCTGTACACCTGCTGTGCCCATTATGAGGGGCTCCCACCATCCCTGTGCTGAGTTCCTGGGTCTGTACCCCCGCTGTGCCCATTATGAGGAGCTCCCACCATCCCTGAGCTGAGTTCCCGGGTCTGTACACCTGCTGTGCCCATTATGAGGGGCTCCCACCATCCCTGTGCTGAGTTCCTGGGTCTGTACCCCCGCTGTGCCCATTATGAGGAGCTCCCACCATCCCTGAGCTGAGTTCCCGGGTCTGTACACCTGCTGTGCCCATTATGAGGGGCTCCCACCATCCCTGTGCTGAGTTCCTGGGTCTGTACCCCCGCTGTGCCCATTATGAGGAGCTCCCACCATCCCTGTGCTGAGTTCCCGGGTCTGTACACCCGCTGTGCCCATTTAAAGAGTTCCCACCATCTCTGCTGGATTTATTCTATATTATGGTGAATGTAACAGGAACTGGAACACACAAAAATGTGTGAGAAAACCCGACAGGAACAGAGATGTACCTTTATGGAAGTGAGATCTCACTGTGATGTGGAAATATCCGTTTTGTAGCAGGAGAAGTGAGACTCTGAAGTAGGCAAAAGCAAAGCCGGGGGTGATGAGGAAGATTGAATTTCATTAGCAGTTTCTTCAAGGGAACGCCAACTACCAAATCCACTGATAGTTGTGACATTACTTTTGCTTGCTCTGAGTCTCTAACTGAAGCGGACTTTCTATAGTTACATAATAATAACACAGAAGGAACACACTCGTTATTATCTTCAGCCTTAGAACAGTCCAAGCCACGCCCACTTATTCCTTGTGCCCGTATCAAATGTTCTCCAGCAATTCAGATGAGATATACACCGGAGCCCCGGGATGGGGAGCTTATATAGGTGCATGGTATAACTGGAGTGCTGCAGGGAATGGCGCATGTAGTGCCCGGACATTGGATACAATACAATCCAGGAAAAGCCAGAATAGACATTTACCCGACCCGCCCAACATGATTCTCGTTCACAGTTACCGTTTTTCCCCGAAAGTAAGACCTAGCGCTATCATCAGGTAATATAAGACCTACCCCGAAAATAAGACCTAGTTCGGTGGTAGGTCTTATATTACAGAGATCCGCGCTAGGTCTTACTTTTGGGGTAGCTGCACATATAATAGAATTTTACATGTCACGGCCGCAGCTCCCTCCCTCCCGCCCGCCAGGCACGCCCCCGGCCCGCCCACCTTTCTGGCTCCATGGAGGGCATTAGAGCAGAGAGCGGCCGCAGCTCCCTCTCGCCCACCCGCCAGGCACCCCTCCCCGCACGCCCACCTGTCTGGCTCCCTGGACGGCATTATAGCTGAGAGCGGACGCAGCTCCCTCCCGCCCGAACGCACGCACGCCCATCCGCACGCACGAGCGGACAGCTGCAGCCAGGTACACATAAGACATCCCCCGAAAATAAGACCTAGTGTCTTTTTTTTTGTGGAAAAAAAAATATAAGACACTGTCTTATTTTCGGATGAAACACTGTATAACTGGTGTTTTTTTACCATCTGTCCTATCTGTTGCAGTGGGGAGACCAAAGAGCCAAACCAGAAGGAGAAGTTGGTGATTTCGGAGGACTGCGAGCTGATCACCGTCGTGGACGTCATTCTTGGGCGGCTGGAGGTCACCACGCAGCACATTTACTTCTATGATCTGAGCAGTGAGAAGCAGGAGACGGAAGAGGGTGAGACGCCGGCTCTTGGTCTTTGTATCTTATTAGGTGTTATTCGGTAGGAGATAGTCAAGGCAGAAGTAAACATAAGGGGTCCTCGGGGCTCTTGCCATAATGTGTACGTATACACCGCATACTTGCAGATATTGGCATGAGCCCTGGGGACAATATATTATGGCTGGAGGGCTGGGGACAGGACATTATGGCAAGAGCCCTGGGGACAGGACATTATGGCAAGAGCCCTGGGGACAGGACATTATGGCAGGAGCCCTGGGGACA